GAGGGGGGAGGAAGGGAGGGAGGGAGGAAGGAAGGAAGGAAAACGAAAGTAGTACAGATAGAGATCACAACATCTGAAAGATGAAGAGAGTATCTGACCCATGACATTTTGTGTGTGTATGTACACAGTCCAGAGGCTTGAATTTAGGAACTGGTGTACTCGTTGAGCTCTTTTGCTCAAGGCTAGCACTGTACCACTTGATCCACAACTCCACTTCAGGCTCTTTTTTGCTGATCAATTGGAGATAAGAGTATCACAGACTTTCCTACCCAACCTGGCTTTGACCCATGATCCTCAGATCTCAGCCTCCTGAGTAGCTGGGATTTCAGGCATGAGCTTGTGATTCAGGCTGATCCTTGACTTTTTAAACTCTAAAAATGTTCACTGTGAATTTATGGGCCAAAAAAAAACCTGGGGGGAGGGGGAAATTCAGTGAAAGAAGCCAAGAAAGACAAGGACCATATGTTCTCTCTCCTGTGTGGATACTAAAACTGTTTAACCCAAATTAGGTGATTCACAAATGAGTAAGTAAAAAGATTAATATATGTAGCAAAGGATGTCAAACTTCACAAATGATCAACAACTACCATAACACAAAAGAAATACTACTTTTCTGTTTGTGTTTTTGTTTTATCAGTTAAGAGGCTTGAACTAGGGGCCTGGGTGCTGTCCCATTTGAGCCACAGCACCACTTCCTGTTTTCTGGTGATCAATGAGTCTCATGGATTTCCCTGCCTGGCTAGCTCTGAACCCTGATTCTCAGATCTCAGCCTCCTGAGTAGCTAGGATTATAGGCGTGAGCCACCAGTACCCAGCTAAATACTACTTTTAACTCTAAATAATAGGTGCTGCCTTATAGTTCTTGAGAGTAAAGGAGACCTGACAGGGGTTAAGGTTGTATGTTAGCTTCATACTCTATTGTAGAATTCAGTATCAATAGAAGCATTCTGAGACATGAACTGATACTGTGTACCCAATGCGCGCATCCATGCTTCCTCCCGTAATGCATTCTCAGGTCTCACTGGTGCGATACATAAGAGCTGAAGGTCGTAGTGTCTCAGAACCAGCACACGACAGCTTGGTGCATCTGTTCCCAGAGCTGTTCCCCCTGGTGTCACCTTGTTAACTTGAAACTAGCCCAGTGGGAATAGTTAGTTAACTGCAAGAGCTTTTTCCCAAGAAGCATCTTTTGTTAAACATTTACTAGCACACCATGTGGTGAAACATAGCCTTTCTTCCCCACTCCTAAGGTCTTCTTCAAAATGGAGGAGGCAACTGTAACAAAAAATGTCTGCCCTGCCTACCCTACCCACCCCTGCCCTGCCTACCCTACCCACCCCTGCCCTGCCTACCCTTCCTGCATTTCCCTGCCCTGCCCTGCCACAGGAGATGGAATGAATCTGGAAGGAGATGTTAGGCACATACAGGTGAACCATCCTCTCTTGGGACAAAATGTTGCTCAAAGCACACTCATCACTCTAACCCAGGGGCAAATTCTGTCCCTGAAGAGTAGACAAGGAACCAACACTATGAGGCAGGCCCAATGCTGCCGAGACTAGATGTGTGCATTTGTCTAAACCTGAGAAATGTTATAAGAAGGGTGGTCACTTGTAAGTGATGTACACTGCCATCTTCATTGTTAGTAATGATCTCGGCCAGTGACCAAGACATCATCACTCCAAACTCAAGTTTAGCTCAGCATTCCCACAGGGAAAAAGTAACATGGAATTCATCACCAACAACAAATTATTGGTTTAAATCCCACTACTTTAAATCTGGGGAGAAAAGAAAGTGTAAGCTGCCAGGCACTGGTAGCTCATGACTATAATCCTAGCTACTCAGGAGGCTGAGATCTAAGGATCACGGTTCAAAGTCAGCTCTCACAGAAAAGGGTCTGAGACTCTTATCTCCAATTAAGTACCACAAAAGAAAAGCACTCTAAAAGAAAAGCTGAAAGTGGAGCTGTTATTCAAGTGGTAGAACACTAGCCTTGAGCACCAGACTCAAGGTCACACACACAAATGTGTAAGACATCTAAAACTATATCAAAGCTGTGGTGTGATTTCCTGCCTAGCAAATAGGGATGCCTACTGTTTCATGCTTTGGAAAGGCTAGCTAGTATGTGGCAAGAAGTGCAACCATAAGCAGAAGGAAAGAGATCAGCTATTCGTAGAAGCACAAAGAAGCTGAGCAAAGGTTAATTCAAAGAAGGTAGATTTGGAACAAGAATTACATTGAAACCCAGGACCACCACAAACAGGTGGGTTTATTACTGAATCCATTGCTCTGTGCCCTGCTCACTGAGGGCAGTGTGATACAGGCACTAGCCTCCCTCATCTTTAGGACTGCCCCAGTGCCTAGAAAGACAAGTAGCTGAATAAGCAGAAGATCTGACTGTGAGACTCCATAGCTGGCCTTTCCATCTCCTCACTCACAAGCTCCAAATGAATGTAAACAGAAAAGAGACCTGGAGCTGATGGGATTAAGTTATGAAGTCACAGAAGACTGGCAGACAAGTGATACCCAAGATGCTGCAATGACCCCATCGCCCTGCAAGCTGCCCAGTCTAGAGCGTCAATGTCCATTTTGTCTCATTCCTGTGGTTCATTTTGCCTATGCAGTCATCACAATCTCGTACCTGCTGTCATTTCTCCTCTCACACACTGCCAGCGGATGCCCAAGGAAACCATCTCCTACTATCCAGCTCCACTCACCAGGTCACCGTAATACTTAGGAAGAATGGATGCAGTTCGGAATTGCTCTCACTGGCTTTTCATGACTGCCATAATCTGAGACATCTCAGCAATGCACCTTCCAACTGACTAAACTGCAACTTCTGTGCAGGTCAGGGCCCACTCCACCTCCTGCTAGCCCAGCTTACTCCCTCTCACCACATACCCTTCCCCAGAAATGCAATGTGAAATGCACAGACATGCATGCAAATAATATTGCCTCTTTTATACATAACAGGAAAGAAAACCAGAGAGAAGTCAACTTGCCTAAGTTTGCACGGTTGCAGATTGGACTGTGGAAACAGACAGCTGAAGCTCCTCTTCTGCACTCTAACCATTAACCTGAAGCACTGCGAGGAACAGGACAGGTGCATAACCCCAAAATGAAGAACATTACAAATGGGCTTCGTGAGAAGTGGGTGATGCAGTTATTTGACTTTAAACAGACAGGTTCTTCTTTTCTGATCTTGATCTCAATCTGGAGTTTTTTGGTCTATGAAAGGGCTAGATCAATTTTACTCATTTGTTAGAAAGATTAATATTACATCACTTGCACGAAAATGGATGGACCTAGCATTAATCATGTTAAGTGAGATAAGCCAAGCTCAAAGAGACAAACAATGCATGTTTTCTCTCATATGGGGAAGCTAGATCTCAAATATAACCAGACATGATAACCTATACAGGATTCCATGCATTCATACATACAGAGAGAGAGAGAGAGTCAAACCAAAGGTGGATGCCAGTAGAGGAGGAACCCAAAGGCAAACTCTCCTGAACATGTAAAATACTATTTAAAGAAACAAATTCCAGGAAATGGAAACATAGGTTATTTATATTGATAGGACTGGTGCTGGTGGTGTTTGTGAGTGCTTTTTTTTCTTTTTCTGCTTTTTTGGTGGGGGGCAAAGGAAGGGCACAGAAAGGGAAAGAGGAAGAGTGAACAGATGCAGAAGATGTGGAAAATGAACTATGCAAC